ACAAAGCTGTGGACGTTTGTGTACTGTCCGTTCCACGTATTTTTCTTCTGGACGCAACGCTGCAGCGCTCCCCCATCAAGGACATCGAGGAAATAAAAGCGAGTGTTTTCTTCAGCCTCGCAGGTAAATTTTCTTGCTGGATGGCCTTGGATGAACGTTTTTGTTAGATCCTCGATACTTTGAGACGATTGAAGTAGGACAAAAATGTCATCTACGTAACTGCAATATAAACCGAGAGTTGAGATCGTTGAATTTAGCTTCCCCTGTTCCAGCATGTCCATGAATACGTCGGGAATTTACGGACATAGTGGGATCCCATTTCCTGACAGCCGACCGTCCGCCATATCTTGATGTCCTCGGCAAAAATCAGGAAAGTTCATCTGATGACACTCGCAAGGTCTCTAATGAAGAACAAGAATAATCGCCGTCTCCGTACGCTTGCAGCTTCTGATGAAGGATGAGGCGATCTATTCGTTGGAAGGCTTTGGAAAAGGCTCGGTAGATGACGTCAATGCCGGTCCCACCTTCCGCTTTCTCGGTCCAACTGTCACGGGCAATCATCAGATTGCTAGTACATGACAGCTGCTGACAAAATCCCTTATTGCTCCGGTGCTATGATGTTAGACCTTTCGAAGTAGCCCATTAGCGCCACAGCTATGATTGACTCCATCATCTTTGAGAGCCCCGGGAGGAGAATAACTGGATGATAATTGGCGGGCTCTGTACCTCTACACTCTTGAACATCGGGATACTGATGCCTTCCTTCCACATGTTATGGACCTACTGTTCGTCCAGGCATTTCAAAAATAATCTGGTTACTGGTTCATTCGTCTTTGTAGCTGTCAGCTGTGGCGCTTTAGAGGGAATGTTGTCAACTTTGGGGGACTTACAGGTGTGCAACGAGAGCAACTACCACCAAATAATCGCCGAACTAAGGGTGGCGTGTTTAAATACGGACAACGGGGAGATTGGGACAGGTATGTTAGACATACTGGTAGCACGTCAGAAAACTTAGAGCATATTGTAGCTGTAAAACGTTAGCTACATTCACGGCAGTTTGAGCATATCCATCTTCTTATATTAATATGAGAACACTATGTTTTTCATGTGGGAGGCTGTTTACGTGTCTGTACAGAAGCTTTTAGTTAGCATAAAACCTTTTTGTTAGACTTTGCTGGTGTACTAAGTAGTTCTCACGCACGAATTTGGCACAGTAATTACGATGCGCAAGATAGTTACTCCAGTAGTCTGGCTTACGCTTCGCTCTATACAATGCCACGCTGCGTCTCTTACTGTCATCTTTTTCGGGTTCTGCTCCGAATGAACAATGGTGCTCTTGCGGATCGACGGGACTTGTTGACCAATGCAGATTTAATCAGATCACTGAACTTGCGCGCAATCTCCATCTTAGCACTGTCAAGGGAACAGTCTTCTGCAACCTGCCAGTTGGCATCTCCCACAAGTTCTGCTAGTAGGTCGTAGTGGGTGACTGTTCGAATGCAGTTACCATGTTCTTGTGGATACTCCGACAGCACACGAAGTAGTAAATTATGGTTCCGTGGACGCTCTGTCCCATAGTGCTGTCCATCCTTCGTTTCTCAATCATGGGATCTTTGTTCGTGAGAACTAAATGAAGCATAGCTGGTTTATTTCCGGCAGTGAAGCGGATGGGTGTGCTGACATGGCTGAAGAGCGGAATGCTTGCAACATACTTTCTCACCTCTGCCTTGAATTGTTCGTTGGGTGATGTCGGAACTACCAAATCGTGCATATTAAAGTCGCCGGAGATGAGAACATGGCTGTATCAAGTTTGTAGGACCTTGCCCAAAGATAATGTCAGCGGAAGTGTATCACCGGGAGTGGATATTTGAAGTAGATAAACAATAGCCAAAGGGCAAGTGTCGTTGCGTCTCAGTCGCAGACTGCACCAGAGTGAGTCTATGCTCAGCACTTTCGGATCGACCATCGGTTCGCACTGCAGGTCGTTGCAATAGTATAACATAACCACCCTTGCTAGGGCGTTCGTTTCGGAGAAGAGACATACTATGTATCACGACCTCGGTGTCGGTAATTTATGAGTGCAACCAAGTTTTCGTGACGAATATGAGGTCTAAGACATGTGACGCTTGACGGAGCCGCAGTTCAGTATGCTTGTTCACGAAATGGTTTATAAAGCATGGAAGCTACGCTTTACATTTGAACAATACATGATGATTTGAAGTCCAATTGGAACACCTCGTGAGCATTAGCAAGAAATGCATGGTCACCACTTATGTTTCCAAAGTACTTAAACCGCTCGCAAATATGGATCCGAAGAATGATTGAACTAACCACGATGGGATGTGCTTATAAATCTTAACTCTCTGAAGACATGCGCAAATGAGCGCATTTTTCAGCACAACCATGGTAGTAAAGTAAGCGAAAACAATATATTTGCCCGCGCGTCATCTTGTCCGTTTCTAGTGAGAAACTATCAAATGGAGAGAAGAAGTTTTGGATGATGCATGCTCCAATGTTGCATTAATGGGAAGGCAATTTTTTAATTCATTCTCTTCATGGTTAAACAGAAGGCCTCCGCGTTGTCTGGGAGGATTCAACGAAACTGCGTTTTTCCAAGTAGAAATGTACTGCGCATCCGTGCACCATACCATTGGAGCATAATAGTATACTTTCGAAAATATTCCTTCCTACTCTCTGTCCAGTACAGCTGATTTTGGACTTTCCCCTATGCTTACGGCATATTTTGAATGCGTAACTTATAACTAAAGCTCCTTACATGCTGGGAAAATACTTGATAAAAGTAGCGTGTTGTATAGATAGGAAAGGGATGCTGCAATTATTAAATAGAAAGCAAATTGAGTGTTAGCATACCCGAATTAATCAAATATTTATTTAACATAACGGATGAAAGCAAAATAGGTAACAGAGTTAATCAAATGTGTAAAATAATTGCGTAGCCGTGGTTAGTCTATGTTTAATCAGATTGAAGAAATAGGTTTCCTTCATTCCACATTTGCGCTGAATGCATTTTGTGCAACATACCACTGGGCATTATTTAGCTCAGAACTGATTCTCTGTGTTTCTCATTAAATGCTGTCGAAACTTACATGGAAATTGCTCAAAAATAGCGAAATTAAGATAAGCTACCGGTAAGTAGAAGTAATGTACCACCCTCCACTAAAAGCCACCGGTGAGAAATATAATTTCCCCTTATAGTATAAAAATAAGTAAAAGATTGACGCATAACCATAAAACTACCTGTTGTATCTACACGTACACTAGTCCCCTGCACGCAGGGTCTTGAACAAACACGACCAAAGCCCCGAACGAGGAAGCAGAACTCTACAGGTACGCAACACAAACTTCTATTGACGCCAACAGTACATGCACTCAGTATATTCAAAACAACCCTTGTATTGATCGCGAACGGACAGGCATCCAATCACAGGCTACGAAGTGCGGTCGTGGTAAGGCCCGCGCGTACGGGCTACCACACTAACGAAATGCATAAATCGCAGATTACAATTTCTGCTATTGGTGATAACCGATTTTATGGGAGTAACTATGCCATAGTTACATAAAAATAGTTGTAGACATTTGACAAATCCACGTTAGTTTGACTGAAATTAGGTAAAATGTTGTCAGAAAAGTATTCCATAAAACTACGTTACCCGTCGATGTCAAACAAGCATAGCAGTTATCAAATTCACGCGATTACACTGTACGAATCGACCGTATCACATATGGACTAAATACTTTCATTTCGAGGAAACTTAATTCGGGTCATCAAAACATTTGCTATACGTTTATAACATTACATTGTGAATCTCGTGTCCATCAGACGTTGCGGCTTTCATTTAGAAGGATATCCTTTTTCGCTGATATACGAAATCTAAATAACTAAGTAAAATCCCTTGTGTTCCTTCACGGTGCTAGATGTCACTTTCAGAATTGGCTTGTTTTGAAACCCCTTCATCGTACTTTTGCTGAGATTTTGTTTGCGGGAACAAAACTAATGACGGTAATGAAGATTTACAAAAGTTTAAGCACCCAGATACGTTTTATACATTCAAGCTTGTAAGTAAATGGTACAGACTGATCCGCCTTTCTTTCGTGGAAATATACCTCAACTATTGCAAAATAATTTAAATTGCCTTAGAACTGACAAGCAGAATTCAGATGAGTCGACAACTAATTATAAACAGTAAGCAGCAAAGTAATAAATGATTTCTAAAACATTGTTTGCTTTCTAGGTTCATTAGTATAAATAGTCGGAAAAATTAAGTTATTTTTAGCAAAGGTACAACCCTTAATGGACTTCAAGTGCAAATGCTACAACTTCAGGCCAAAACGCAGCTGAAACTAATCTGTGTGTTTCAATGAAAACTAAGGAAGGCTCTTGGAGCAACACCTTGTTTGCTTCACCGGTTGCAGTATTACACTACTAAATTACAATTTATTCGTAATTACCTATAGTCTCAAGCCATAGCTGAGTGTCAAACCCAAGGACTTATATGCTCAAAATACAGCGGTTTATTATTAAGGCAATAAAGAGGGGAGCATTTAGACACAACGAAGGTTCTTCGGCATATAACTGTTCCTTTACTCCATCTACTCACTAGTATACTTTCAGTTATAAGTTTTCGGCATAGGGAAATTTGTAGAACCTATTTTTCTATCCCTTCATTATCAATGGAAGAGGGTTGCGCAAGGCTTCATAAGTTCACACAAGAGCTTCTGGACAACCATAGCATTTATCTTGATCAGCCTTTTGTTGCTTATAGAACTACTGAGTTAGCAAACCTGACATGGTAACACTCTTCGTTCCGGCAGTAGTAGCCCAGTCACGCATCACTTAAATGATTGGTCGAACAAGTCGGTGTTGCCGTTCGTCTGTCCAGTGGATCATTTAGCAGACAAGCGTGGATTTTATTGGTTAGTTAATGTGAATAAACATCTTATATTCAGTTGCCGGCAAGATGTCCAGCCAAAAATTTCTGCTCCATACTCATGTTCTAGCTATACCATGGTGACAAATTGTGATGTTTGTGAAGAGGGTGAATATAGTAACTATGACTGCCAGGAGTTTGACGGAGGTCCCAATTATTTCCCAAGTTCTAACTCCTACCCCTTTTTGATGCCGTATAACCATCCACTTGGATTGAGCCCAATGAAAAACTATGCCAATCTGCATGTAGAATGCAACAAATCATTTACAAAATCGAGCTCATCTTATTCATTCTCCTACGCGTTAGAAAGTGGGAAATGCAGTTCCAGCTATCTTGATTGCAGACTAAGATACATGCGTCAAACAAGAAGATTGCAAAAGTATTTGCGCGTCACCCCGGAGGGTCATCTACTGGTGAATGATATCGGGTCGCGTTCAGCTGATGTCCTTAGACTAAACCAAAAAAAGCCAAACTCAGCCACGTGGTCTGATGAGGTACCTGGACATTCTCTTGAGACGCTGATTAGTGCAGCCAAGTTGAAAAAAATATACGCAGCTTTCTGGAACCTGGAACCAAAGCAGGATGTATCACATTCTAACTCACTACAACAGATCGATGAAAACAAACCTTCCTCAGAAACAACTAATGAGGCCGTTACAGAAGACAAACCTGGTCAATGAAACATGCCTTAGGAAGGCTGCTACGATTATGATCGGAAGGAGTGGTTCGTCTCTAAGTGAGCTGGGAAATGAAACCCTTTTAGTTGACATATACAGACTGCTCATTTCAATCACAAAGATGACCTATTTTTAAACAATATTGCATAAATTTTGCAATGGCTGTGCATTATTCGAAGAATTCCATTGCATTGTACCAACTTGTTACAAGTCATGGATTTCTGTTCATCCATGGAAGGTGTGTGGTTGCGTAACGGTTAGCTCTACAATTCTCTTATAAGCGACCTAATTCTGCACTAAGATTCCGTTTCAAATAGGTAGAACTGGTGTTATATTAGTACTTTTGTGACCCTTTATGAATGTATAGATATATTTTTAAAAAAGCAATATCAGTACATTTTGCTCAAGCCGTACCATTGGCAATGCTTGGCATTCACATTAAGGCGACTTTAGTGTACATTGATAAGGAAGTGCTGCTCCTTTTGGGTTGCCATAAGCATTCTCATTCTTAACCTCTTTTCAATTCACATTAAACTAGGGCATCCAGAAAAACATAAGTTACTAATGTGATTAGACAAACCCTACCGATTTTACTTCTCCGATGGGATGGCTGAGACAGATTTGCCCAACAGCCAAGTTTAAGTAAAGCGTGGTTACATTGTAGATTGTCTCTAGCGATTAATTCAAACACAGTTGTTTCAGGAGAACCAGCGATATGTTATTAACCGCTGTGATAAGTTTGCTGGCTGATCGCCTGTGCATGAATGCAGATGCCAGACTATACTTCTAAGACTCGCGTTGTACAGTCCAAACTGATATGTCGACCACCTGTCTAAGATGACCAGTGAAAAACCTTCCCAACGTTTTCTTCTCCGATTAATATCCCTATGCATAAACCTGCCTATAGCGACCATCTGGCCAAGGAGACCAATTTTTATCATCCTTCTGTGTGGTCGCCTTAGACAGGTTTGACTGCGGCTGCACCGGTTTAGGTTAAGGGCAAGAAATGGTGGGTTAAACAGGGTGGTGCGATCGAGTAATAAGTAACATTACCGCTTTCCAATCTATTTCTGTGTAATTAGCACAGGAGCAAAACTTGGAGTAAGGAGCGATGAAAAATTGTGCCTAAGTGAACTTGTGTAGTTTTGCGCGTTTTATTATTTACTGGTTGCGTTAGTAGATTTGAGAAAATGGTTTTCGTTCTTACATTTTGTCTGTTCTGCGCCTGACGTTCCCAATGTAATTCACTCAAGTTAGTCGCGACGGTGGGACATCAAATTGCCTGAGTAACAGAACCCATAATTAATGATATATTTTGTGCATATGATGCCTATTTTCTCCCAATGTTGGAAGCGCATAGCAAAATCAAATTGTCTAGTCAAAATTCTCCAAGTGTTTTGCATTGTGTACCGTTCTAGCAGTTTTGCACTTTAGTAAGTTGAAATTTGGTTTATAATTCAATCAGGTTATGAATGTTAAAGTTCTTAGTTAAAGTTAGTTAGTTATTTCTTAGTTAAAGGTTAATATTAAAACTGAACATGAAAAGTAAATTCGCTTGGTAAAAGCCACGAATAGGATGCGCAGCAAAGCTAACTTTTGAATATTCAGCAGTGATGTCGACCTTTTGTGTTTCGAACAATCAACACCGCTGCAGTGTGACAAGTACATATTTTTTGGATAAAGGTGTGTAATAGATGATGCAACCTTCGGTATCTTTAGTCAGCTGTTGGCATATTTAGCATATTGAGGAATGACGGATCAGAATCATTGCCGAAATGGGGCTAAATGACAACGGATCGTGTAAGCTTATACTTAAAGGTTGCATTATACTTCATCGTCCGCTATAAAGGAGTACTTTTTCATTGTTCCTCAAAATCCGTACTAGGTATAAGCCTGTTTTAAGACGATATGCCACTTGCAACTTTGTGGTATAATTACTCTCATCACTACAAATTGTTTGGGGCGAGCGGAAACCGGAGGCCGGTGGCTGATGGGATGTGGCGCCTGCCTTATAACCAAGTGATCACCGGTTCGAATCTGCGTAGGTGTAGATAACCTCAAATCTTTTTAGACTTGCACGATTTATGGTATTTGGGTGGCAGCGAAGGGTCGGTGTGGCAGTCTGCGTACTGTTGTTGCCTACTATCTGTATCAATAACGTTGGACTTTAAATTGTAGCAACTCTGAAAAATTGCGCTATAATAGTGGGCGCGGTGTCCATTCCAGTGATTCTACTAAAGATCGGTCGATGGCTAGAGGTCAGAGGACTATAGTGTCCTGGCTCTACAGGCCATTGGCTGGAAATTATTTGGCGTCCAGTTCTTTGGAATCTGGTTTTCGCCATATCCCCACTGCTTTGTAGCCAGGCTTTGAGTCATAAGCTTTAGTTGAGGGCCCCACTCTTTGTCATGTCTAAGTTTGGAAACCCTGGCAATACATAGGTCAGTTCACAACCAAGAATACATGAATTTATCACCAACTTTGAGAAGTTTCCTGCATCGGTCGTCGCACGGCCCCGAACATTTGCCTTATATGCAGCATACAAAGAGGCGGATAAAAGAAACTGTCTTATTGCTTACAAAGCACTTATTTCCTTTTCAGCTATTTTCTTTCATCCCCTCCCTATCCAATTCATAATCACCCTTCTGCCATCTGAAGTTACATTCTAGCAACGACAATTGGCATTTTACCAGGCCATCCCGTCTTGTATCTAGGTGGACGTTAACCTTCACACCATAGGACAGATATGTCAACAGACTGAAGTTTCACGCGTATTGAACACACGAAGTGTCAAGGTGTGCTGTGTGTCCGCAAGCAACAACATTAACCTTACGTGGCTATTAAAGTAACTGCGCCCTACTTATTCTGCCGTTTTTACCAGTATTCTGAGACGCCGATGCGTCATCTACTGGTGAAGTTGAGGCAGGGAGATTTCTTGGCTCCAAACCTGTCACTGTTGATTAATTGGATCCCTGGTAGTAGCCACTTGTGTGCAATTTGTTTAATGACACAAACCAAGATGAGCGCAGGGTGCATCAGCGGCGGTTGTCAGATTGCTAAATGGCGCATTCTCCCTGACCGACTGCCGACGGACGCCACTTAGCGCAAACGTTGTAGGTTGCTTCGCAGCGCTGTTAATTTAGATATCCTTCCAGTTGCTAGAGGTAATAACGCGTAATAATGCCGTCATTACTACTCCGAAGTTCAAGTACGTAATACGTTTGGACGCAAATCTGAACGCTGATCATTGACAGTTTATTAGCATTCCTGCTTTCAGACATCGTGCGGGCCGATGTGCCACTTGGCGTCCTTCGATAGCTGGTTCAAGAACTATCATAAATTCCCTGTGGTACAGTAAAATTCTGGACTTTGGCTCTTTATAGTACAGGTGCGTTAACTCTCATCGTGTCCTGAATAGATGCAAATAATCCATGAAGTTTGCCACGAAACAAATCCAAGTGCTCTGTTGAATTGCAGCTGCGAACATAACTTTACCTTCAGTCAAACAGAAACATCAGGATGCAATTCGTATAAGGTTTTTACCTATTCACTACAATTATTTTGCCATTTAGCGCAATAGAATTTCATGCTGCCATGGACTACGTCAGAATCTTTGCTTGCCATACTCTTTGTATCAAGTTGCCAGTCACTAGCGATCCCAGAGATCTGTGAAACATCTGGAATTCAGGAAATATCTCCTACCTTTCTCTAAGTGCAGTGGGACTCAACTCACCACTGCGCGAGAGTTCATCTATGACCGCATGCTGACAAGAAGGCTTGGTGAACAAAGAAGGCTGTAAAATTTAAGGACGCCGGAGTAGAGAGTTAGCACCGCAGATTCGTCTAAGTGGACAGCAGCACTGGTCCCAGAAAATCGTACTTCAGTAAGACAAGCAGAGACAACAATAACGCAACGATTTACACTAAAGTGCTCTGTTTGCCTTGCTGGGTGAAGCGGCTTTGAAAGCCTTTTCCTACCCATTTGGTGTATGGTTAGCCAAAGCTACTGAGACTAATGACTTCGGCTGAGGTTAAGTTCAGATAAGGGATCACAGTCAATTATCATTTTGGAGCTGCTAGGCCGTATTATCATACATTTCATTTTAAGGGGGGATGTGCGATTCACTGCAAACACTGACCCACTTGTTCTAACGGATGTTGAATTTGGAGACTGCCAGGTCAACTGCGGTAAGTGGATACTGGCAGTGACATATACCAAAGACAGCGGCACCGACTCCGTTAACTGATAGTAATCAGCTTGTACCCCAAAGTGACAAAGCCACTGGCCCACCTTTCAACCGTAGAATTACTGCGGAAATGGGTTCGCGGAAGACGGAAGAGCATGCTTTATCACGTCCAAGACTGGACAGTGAAGACCATATATTCACTCGGTCGTAGGAATATGAATAGCATCACACGTGCAGCAGACCGAGAATAACTGGGTTCTCCACTTTCAAGAGTGCGGTTCAACTCACTCGATCGCTCCATTCACTATAAATTACTGGTTAGGAGGTTTTTTATACGTTGGGCTTCACGTTGTATGAGCTATCGTTCTGGGCTTTCAATTCCTGCATGGAGTAGGATTTGCTTGACGTGCATTATGCAGACGACATTCTCTTGTTGCTTGAAAGTCTCGAAGCTGTTCAATTATGGGGTACGCTACCCTCGCCTCTGCTCTCTGCACTGCCCTACGCCTCTGGTCTCTGCCATGTCAACTAGCCGCGGAGGAAACAGAACGCTGAAGCATGTTAGACAGAACTATACTAGGTACAGCAAACGACACATTTTATAGGTCACAACCTAGCTTCTCCTGTTATAAGCTGACTCATGCCATTTGCCATGGATAGATTTCAAGCCTACTTGCGCCCTGTCATATTGTACCTTCTCCATGCTGACGGTCTGAAGTCATCAGTTTCCAGCGTGACTTAACCGTGTTATCGCTGCTCGGGTACCAACCCGTGTGATGATGAACTGATTCCATCAGCTTCCTGCGTGACTCAGCCCTTATATCGTCAGTCAGGTAGCAACTGGTGTCCCCATGATAGGC